CTCCGGCGGGCGAAAGAGGGAACAGAAAGCCCCAGGTGCGGTGGGGCAGCCCGTGGCACACTGGGGGTTCTGCTACCGGGAGCTGGAGTCGTGTGCCGGGGCCGCGGTCAGCAGCCCTCCTGTCCCCCAGACCCTCAAGGCACCCGCGGGTTTGGCCCCAGGAGAGGCACAGCCCCACTTGGCCTCATCCCGACACCCCGGGGCTGCTGCCTGCTCAGGCCACAGCCCCCCGTCCCGTCCCTGAGCTGTGAGGGCCCCAATGGGGCCACGCAGGGTCCCTGCTCTGCACCCACAGGTGGCAGTAGGGCCAGCATTGGCCCCGGGACCCTCCTCTCTCCCCTTCCCCCAGGATGCAGGGTGCAGGACGGCACCCCCAGAGCCAGCACAGAGCACAGGTCTGTAGCCAGTGTCCTTGCGCTGCAAAAAGAGCGGGGTGGGGGGAGAGACCCTCCAGCAAAGAGCCCTGGGGACGCCCCAGGGCCCATACACGCTCCAGCCCTACTGCACCACAGGCACCAGCAGCTGGCAGGGATCCTGCCCACTCCCGGCTGGAGGCAGCAGGAGGGATGAGGACAGAGCTGGGATAAGCCACGGCAAAGACAGCTGTAGCGGGGAGAAAGGGGGATTGAGGGATTACCGCAGCAAGCGGCCAAAAGCCCATTAAAGCCGGCGATCAATTTGCTACCCGCCCCCCCCAGGGAAAGTGGGGCCTCTGCCCCACAAGAACTAATCTGCCCCTTAATGAGGAGTTGGGAATTCTGTTGTCAACAACCAGCAACACGCCTGGCTGGGGTGTCCCGCATGTGCTGGCTGCCCTCGGCCAGGCCCCGCTGCCCTCAGCCGAGCGCTCCCAAGCTTGTCCCCCAACCCTGCATGACAGGGCCTGAGCGGAGCTGCTATTTCTGTCCCCGTTGCGCAGATGCTAGCCACAAAGTAAAAGATGCAGGACAGGCTCCAGAGTGGGGTCGCATCTGCTTCCTCACCTTCCTCCCCCAGGGCTGGGCTTGTGCTCTGTACGGCTCTCGGTATCGGGAGCAGCACGTGGTCAAACCACAGATGCAGAGCACTGCGACGGGAGAAAGGTACTGCTGCGCGATGCAGGAGCAGGTGAGGGGCTGTGGGGCGAGGGGTTCACTGGGGGCCGGGCAGGGACCCCCCTCTCTGGCTCTTCTTGTTGCTTTCAGACGCTTCTCTTGTGAGCTGCGTGGGTTTGTGCTGAAAGACAAAATCCCACAGAATGCTGCGGAGTGCTGGGCACTCCAGGGGCCCGGGGCCCCGAGAAGGGAAGGGGCTGGGGGAGCTGCTGGGGCGTCAGCCTGACCCGGCACTGGGTTCAGACCCCACCTGCAGCCCCAGAGCAGGGGGGGATCGGGCCCGGCTGCCTGGGCTCCCTGACAGGAGCCAGGAACAGCGAAACTGCTGTCATGAGGCTGCTCTGAGTCAGAGCTGTGCCGAATCCTGACCCCCACAGCAATGGGGTCCCAGCTGTCCGGTGTCAGGCTGCAGCACTGTCCCTCTGCGTCAGAGCAGGACCGAGATGTCGGGAGCTGGGAGCACCACACACAGCTGCCTGCAACCCGTACAGGGCAGTGGGATGCCCCAGGACCTCCCTGGCTGGGAGCAGGACTGGGCAGCGTGGGGCTGTGCCGGCAGTGGGGTCCCCAGGAGTGCACACGGGGACCTGCCCAAAGCACCACCGGGGGATGTTGGCATGGAGCCCCGAGGTTCAGCCGCACAGGGTGACCAGGGCCGTGGGCTGGGTGCTGAGCACTAGGGGACCCGCAGCGGGGGCACGGTTAGTTC